ATGTTCGAAGGGGATAGAAAGTATTGACGTCACGTGGCAGACTTGGAATTCTTTACAGTCCCTTAATTTGGGGTAGATACGATTTGGTGCTTGAATGTGGTTCTGAGGCGAAGTTCCTCCTGGACCTGACGTCATATTAGGTGCATCTGTACTCAGTTCACATCCGAAAGCCGAGTGCGAGGCGGACGGAGCTGTGCTTCGCCCTGATGATGGAGGCAGCATGGACATCTACCAGACTATTTGGTGCTACAACCCAGAAGACAGCAATCTTCAGACTCGCCGCTCAGAAAACCTCGAGTCCTACATTTCGCTTTGCTTTTACGTTTTTCTTGAGTGTCACGTGTAAAGTTCCAACAGATTTTTGAGCGAAGAATTGTACTCACATGCGGAGTACCTGTACTTACTACAGGCATTCTTGTTCTACTCCCGTGTCTTACTCGGGTACACAAATCAAGATTTGCTCACCGAATTAAATTCCATAAAAATAGAAATTATTTTTATTAATTATATTATTAAGTGTTCGTATCATATAAGAGCTACAGAAATTAATAAACTGGTATTTTATATCTCAACTAATTTGTGCGACTTTTTCTATTTATTTGTATATTTGTGTGTTTTATTTTGTAATTGGGAGCTTCGTGTAAAATAAAAGCTGTATCCCGTATTAGTCTGATACCTGGAAAATTTCACTGTGTTAAGTAGTTTTCCGTGACGATTCCCAGTGCCAAATTTGGCATAATTACGTTTGTTAATTTCGGAGAGGTAACGGAAGGACTTATGTACATAAAATTGGGTTGATTCATACAAAAGAAAGAAAGAAGCGAGTGCATCTGAGACCGATTATATCCGTTCGCATTGCAATAACACGTGCACCGAATTATTCAGACTATTTTTTTAAAGGTGTTTTATTCCGAACTTGTGCCGAGTGTCAAGGGTCACGTCCGGTCTTCCCATACCGCGTTAGGTTCTCAGTCCACGGCTGCGCTGTTGATACCAAGACGTCTGTCCCAGCAGGGCTTGCAAATTTCACATACCTGTCAATCTATGTCTAGTTTAAAACACCTAACCTAACCTTAAGGCGTGATCCGTTGAGGTGTGCAAGGACACACTCGTTTTCGGTTGTCCGCCCCCATTTAACGACGTCGCTATGTCAACAGATCCATTCGTCGTTTGCAGATAAACTGGACTATCAGCCATAAAATATGTTTCGATTTAAACCGGTTCTACACATGTGATAATGTGGCTTTTGTGAGAACACATCTTGCGCTCAAAAATGGTATAACTCCTATACCACATCGGTTTAAGTGACATTGTGTGTGGTCAAGAGTTGTCTGAGAAATTTCGACGTGAGGGACTGGAAACAATTTGTACCTCTGTCTGTGGCGTCGTTCGAAAAATTTATTTATTTCGTGTAGTTTGTTAGGGCGTGTAGATTATTAAGCGAACGCCTCATATGGACAGATTGTGGGCGGTGCCAAGCCTTTTTGCAGGAGCACCGCAGAGCTCATATCGATGGCAAGGCTTTGTGAGGGAAATGTTTGTGGAGTCGATGGGAATTTCACTTTGATCATTATCTATCCTGAGGGCGCCGCTGTATGCCAGCTCCTAGTTGCTGGCTGTGAGGTTATTTCAAAAACATTTTTGGATGTGCAGACGGGATGTGACAGGCCAGGAAGGTGGTAAAATATGAAGCCGACGGGCATGTACGAAACACAAACATACAGTAGGGGCTTTATCCAATTAGCGAAATTGCATCGATACCCGATACACAGTAACTACCACGTGTGACGCGCTACGTGCTTTCGCTGCAGGCGGCCTATAAGCAAGGAGGAGACATAACTAGCCCACAGAAAATTCAAATGAAACTTACGAATTCAGTCCGTACCGCGAAGAAAACACTACACTTCACCATTGCAAAGATCAACTGGTTAACCTTGTTTAAGGAAATAATACGACTAAAACGCTAATTAACCTTTGGAGCCGAAGCTCTTTCAAATGAAACTTAAGAATTCAGTCCGTACCGCGAAGAAAACACTACACTTCACCATTGCAAAGATCAACTGGTTAACCTTGTTTAAGGAAATAATACGACTAAAACGCTAATTAACCTTTGGAGCCGAAGCTCTTTCAAATGAAACTTAAGAATTCAGTCCGTACCGCGAAGAAAACACTACACTTCACCATTACAAAATATCAACTGGTTAACGCTGTTTAAGGAAATAATCTCTGTTTATTTTGAGATTCACATTAAATAAATTAGCAAAATGCAGAGCGTGACCACTGTTAAAGAAGGTGGTACATACAATTACCACTGGGCTATAAAGGGCTAAAGAATGGGTCAGATTATATAATGGGCCGTTTCATCGTTTGTTACCTTTTGTCTGTGAACCTACTGTAACGGTGATTACATTCTGGACAGAAATATTTAGTCAGAAAGCTTGTTGAAAAATATCACGAGCGAGATCACGATACTTATTATAGGATTTAATGAGCTGCATAAACACACTTAAGCCAGATGTATTTGGAATAACTTAAAGAATGTCTTTAATGAGCTGCATAAACACACTTAAGTCAGATGTATTTGGAATAACTTTAAGAATGTTACGGTGAAGTTTATGAATTTAAGATCCGTTTCGAAAAAATGTGTACAGGTACTTGTTGAGCACCCTGTAGTATACCTCATCTGCTTGTGAGACTTGCCCCCTTGAAGTTAATGGAAAACGTAATAAAGCAGTGAGTCTGCAGACAGACTCAAGTTAACTTCTTTTGGTGTTCCATTGTCTCCTTTCTTCCAACCTTTGTCTGGAGGAATTCTTTTAGTTATTTGAAATCTGATTTGACACCCCTCGCGTGTTATGTTTTGTCCTGGCTTCTTTGTAAACACGCGTTCGCTCTTATTGAAGAGGAGAGAGGATTAAAACAAGACCCGGCTTGTGTTGGTCTGCGAACTCGAGGGCCTTGCGTTCGTGTTCTCGACTAAAAATCTTCATACTCTTGGAATTAATTTCTTGACTCCCCCCTCCCCTCGCCGCCTCATTGTCTCATTAATTGCTAATCGCTTCTCAAAGAGGAGAGCACAAAGGCGGCCTTCGACGCTGCTCTCGATCCGCGCAACGTTGCTATGGAAACGCTCGAGGAGAAACGAGACGTCGTATCAACTGATGAAGTCGCCTTTCTTCTGACGTCGGAAGTGGTTATTGAGTTTATCCTTACGTCTGCCCGTCATCTTCGTCTCTCCGTGTGTTTTCCACCTTCTTCTCGCTCGTGTTATCTCCTATTCTGTTTCTTCTCCGTCTTCTTGCCTCGCAGACAGAACCAGAGAGACGGAACTCCGCGGTCACCAAACTGGTGAACCAGGGCAGACACGTAGCGGGCGATGCGTCATCCTCGTGGACAAGCAGCTCTCGTCCTTACCGACCCTCTAATGATGATTATGGTTAATTACGAGCACAACTGCCCGATCGTTATGCCGGTCATGACCCAAAACTGGATCCGAGGAGACAGCGGAGTTGCTCGGCCCCGTACACACGATAATGCTCGGGGTGTTGTGGTTGGCGTCGAACTAAGAAAGGCTCAGATGAGGTCGCGTAGGTGAGGTTTCAGGTTCTGAAGGCGGTAAACATGTACGATACGCTCCTCCGTAAATTTGGAAACCGCCCGGGAAATTTTTTGACCAGCTGGCTGACTATCAGCTTCTGAAGAAGATCTTGGCTCCATGCACATTCAGTTACCTTTACCTTGTCTGAGGTTAAACCACGTGACGGAGGTCAAATTCTTCCAGACGTGCTTGCTGCCTCCATCTTCAGGACGGTAACATCATAGAAGACAATAATTTGATACTGGACTGAAATCTTACCTGGATTTTCCTTGTTTGTCTTGAGGCGGAGATTACTTCGAGAGGTGTGCCTGATATGAATCCGGGAAAGATGATTTGTGGCCTCGATGGAACGAAAACAGCGTGCGTACTCTGGTTCGGGTGAAATACTTTGGAGCGTAATCGTGCGACGAGGACTTGTTTCACGAGACGAGTCGCCGTTCCATCTGCAAAGAATGGTTTCTGTAATCAGAGGAGAAGACCCTGTCACGCATTGCCGCCGAAAACATTGGGGTGGTCCTGCGCATTTATAGCCAGCGCCGGATTCTTTTGTTAAACTCGCGCGCTGATCGTCACGACTTGCAACTCGATTCGGATTCATCGTCTCTTATCAGTGCGTCTCTCTCTCTCTGTCAGTCGATTCACGTGCCGTTGCCATGGAAATGAAGGACAGAAGTGTTTGGTCGAATTTAAGCAACTGGATTTTTTTGTAGGACGTACCAAGAGCAGAACCGGATTAGGCAGAACCGGATTAGGTTGAATTAAGAGCCAGGTACACGAGACGAGAGTCTCGTCTCTTGGTTTCTGCAGCGATTGGAGATTTTTAGGAGGGATGAGGTGACAAAGGGGCGAGGAAAAGTGGATAATGAGGAGCTCATACAAATATTAAGACGATCAAATCGATGGTTATCGGTTTCTTGGGGGGGGGGGGGGGGGGGTGACGCAAGAAGGAGATTTGCTAAGTCCGAGTGCGAGAGACCAATTGGAAGACCTGGATGTAGAAGGGAGAAAAAACATTGAGACATGCGTTCCATTGACTATTTAAAAAAATGGCATGAATTATGTCTTTGCTGGCGTGAGAACAAGAGGATTAAAGCCAATGAACTCGCGTTTAATTTTGACAAAAAGAAATTCGACGAAATTTCTGGGATGTCGTGTGCGAAGATTTAGATACGATTTGTCTGATTCAGGCAGGGCACGATCCGGAAGAAAAAAAAACAAATTTTTGTGCCGACTGTTACGAACCCTTTTGCTCTCCGAGAGTTGGTGGTCGCTTTGAAGGCTCTGGCGCGACACGTGACCAGAAGTTTTGTGTGCCAGTTTTGCGCTGTTTGAGATTTGTTAGTTCATGGGATGCGTAAAAGAGAGAAATACGGAGATCATTTCGCCTTTCTTTTGTTTTCAGTTCTCGAAAGGATCGAACCGAGAGTCTGCGTGTCTGCAAGGCCCCGACTGCTTCATGGTGAGTGGAAACTTCTTTTATACGTACCACGTGATCTGCCGTAATTGGCGGATCAAATGCCTGCTGTTTTATCCCGCACTTTCACACCGGATGATGTCGAAGAAACTGGTCGTGGCCGGTTTTTGCTTCTCTCGGGAAGCGTCACGGAGAAGTTCCGTCAGGATTGTCGATGTTGTCCGGGCGTAGATTTATACCCGGAAGCTGTTTTCCGGAATATTCCTCCGCTGGTTTTGATGTTGCCGAGTTTCAGCCATCCGACAGTGGATCGCCGTGGCTATTATCGGAGTCGCTGTAACCCTACGCCAACACGCCGTCATCAGTTCCAGATCCATTTTTACAGAACACGAGCGCTCATCTGTCACGCGGTTGCCATGACAACAGTCGCTGTGTTTGTGTTTTTTTTATTGGTCCGAATGACGTAATCGCTCGGGATGTCGTGCTTCCTGTCTCGGAAGCGGTTGTCGGTGTAATGACAATTATTTCGTTGTTCGAATGCGAAACGGCGAGTTCTGATGGCGAATTGTTATTTGCGGCAACTGAGTTCGATAAATATCGAATGTTCTTCCGGCATTCATGAAGCTGTGGTTAATTTTGGCGTCAGAACTGTTTTCGCGGACTGACGCTCTCTGACGGACTTGTGCGGACAGAACGGCCTGAATGTCATTAATTCGTTTCCGCTGTCAGAGGGGTCGCGACCCGCATATTGCAAACCACTGGACCTTCGCAGGATTAGCATCGTTATGATGAAATGTGAGTGTCGTAAATGGGACGGACAAGAGCTTGGGGGAGGGGGGGGTGTCTGATGAATGCACTCCTGCCCTGTCCCTACCCTCTCTCTCTCTCTCTCGTGGGACACGTTCTGTTAACGATGGAGCCCTGGACGTAATTGCATTACGTTTACTGTACCATATCCTGGAGAAGCTGTTAACCGCGGAGTGGAAGAGGGGCGTACGTCACCAGGACTTGCATCTGATCAAGCGTAAAGCCAGGGATTTTGTAAAACGAGAGTGGCGTAGGGGGGGCGTCTGTAGATCTACTCCATGCATTCTTTAGTTCTTTATAGACCTGAATGCTAATTGCAGAATTACGTACTCACTAATGTGTTTTGTGGCATGAAGCAGCCATAATTTAGCTACCCCTCCGAAACTGACAAATTTAGTTTGAAATTGTTCTGGCTTCACCTCAGAACTTAGCGCCCCCCAAAATTCTCCCTTTTTGTACGTAGGACGACACTGAAACTCACAGGCGGTGTCGACTTTGTTTACTGAATGTAGGATTAACTTCTATTGTTCGATGCTTAAAATACGAAAGTTTCTAAGAATCGTTCTCTTGCTAGGTGTTACCAACATGAAAAATATCCCTCCCCTAGTGAAATTTACCTTTTTTTTCCTCGAAAGTTCTAAGATTTGACGTATCTACGAATGCAAGATTATGAATCTAGGGTTACTGTGTTACGACAGCGTACAGTATTGAAGGTGAAGAGGAACATGCTGCATCTGTCTTCAGGGTAGACATCGAGAAAGATTTTATAGGCTGAGTCGAAATACGTAGCCAAGTATAAAGCTGCACGAACTGCGTGTGAAGTATGGACGTAGCCTTATTGAATAGTTTTGGAAAAAGAAAAAAAAATGTTTTATCGATTTGAAGTATCAAAGTTGACGGAAAAATTTCGCTTTGCTTCAAGACGACGAGAATGCTCTCGAGGCGGAAAAATTTCGAAACTCTTTATTAAGTTCAGTTTGAGTTTAATGAAAATTGTGGTAGAGGGCACGACGAGCAAATAGTATTAAGCGTTTTATTAATGTCAGGAATCGTTTTGAAGGCGACAGAGAAATACGACCCCGAGTACGACTTGATGCAAAAAGGCTTAAGGATTCCCCCAACGCCCGCTTTTTTGTCTCGAACTTTTTGGTGTCCCCGAGCTCCTTAATGAAATTCCATATCCGCACCTTTTACGCGGGATCAAATTCCCTTATAGGTTAATGAGAAATGCCTCAATTAGCGCCGATTCACTTTTCAGCGCGTTTTCCTGCCAAGGAGGGGCATATTTCGACATTGCCTGAAACCTTTTTTCGTTTAAAGTAATATATTTCCATGTAAGTGACGCGCGTTATTTTAAGCTAAAGATCGTCACCTTTTGACCCCCGAAAGACGATAGGAAATATTTTCTTTAATTGAAGAACCAGGATTTTATGCTCTCTTAGGTTGGCATCACCGAGAGAGTAAGCTAAGCTCAAAATGTACATGGTATTAACTTAGGGACGAAAGAAGTTAGAACTCTTTTGACATCCTTAAAGTTGGATTACAATTGGTTCAACTTTAAGAGCCAGTGATAGTCTCATCTCAACCTTCGTGATTCGTATAGGAGCACGCGGTTGACGGCCGGGGTTCGGCTCTCGGCAAGGGCAGGGCCTTCCTCTGTGTCCAGACCGGCGGTCGACTCACCCATCCGCCTAATCTATCCCCGCGTGCGTCACTTTAAAAGTTGTATGAATCTGGGGAAACTTTTCAGGGGTTGGCGGCAGTGAATGGAAGCTTCGGTTTAGTGTTTTATTACAACGAAGGACGCGCGTGGACTGAGAAGCGACGTCCGATCTCCCGCGTCGTCTTGTGTCATCCGGACCCCAGACCCACCGAAAGTTGGGGGGTGTCTTTCTACCCCCGTTCTGCAATAATTTATTGTCTGGGAGGAATTCGCCTTTTGTGGGGGGGAAGCACGGTTAGTCACTCCAATCGGCTAGAAATGGTAAATACAAGCCTTCCCAAAAACATTTACCAGTGATGACTTCAGAACCTCGCGGACATCTGAATTTGAAGTAATCAATTTTCTTCAAAAAAAAATAAAAATAAAAATTCTTTGTTTACCTAACGACGTTAATTCAACTGCGTTTGGTGTTAAGCCTCTAATAGACCACCTTCTTCCCACATTTGGCTACAGGAACTGAGGAAAACCTCGGTGCGATTGGTTGGACATTCGTTTAATACGAAGAACGTGACCTGTACATGTAGTAATCGTAATTCACAAGTTACTTGTCACTTATGATCTGGGTTGTGACGCCTCTGTCTTCAGGGTCGATATGTTTCTCCGTAACGTTGTTAACCATCTACATGACCAAAATCCACATCTTTACCACCGCAGTTATTTTCATAGGTACTTTATACTATTGGGTATTCCAGCTGCTATCTTATTCATGCAAGCTCTTAGATCTTCATCGCCCTGATGATGGAGGCAGTAGGGACATCTGAAACGTTGGTAAACGTCTACCAGATTACACGGCGCAACAACCCAGAGGACAGCCATCTTGAAGCTCTTAGGTAATTAGAATGTCGGTTCCAGATTTGGGGTCTGTTTGAGGAGGTCGTGTGAGGTCTCGGGGGCGTACCCTTTTTTATTGTTGAAACTACTGGCATTTTGCTGTGGACGTGTTGTCAGCTTACTGACAGCTGAATGTAGGTAATACCAGGAGCACAGCTGTACTGGCCAGACATTTCCAGCGACATTGCTGCTGCACGTTGAGTAGCCTGACAGCACAAAGGCACGCCGCGAAGACGTGTTGGGAAGTGTACAACTCTGCTTTCTAAAGATTTTGGCACTAGATTGGAGGCGAGTGGTCAGATTCACGCTCCGTCGACCTTAACACCGACTAAAGCACTCACTACCCACTGAGAAATTATCTCCCTGTGACTGTCATGGCGACGAGAAGGTGGGATCTGGCACCGTCTGGTATTAATATTGACGGACGTTTCAGAGGAGCATGCTGCCTTCCTGTGTGTTACAGGAAGCATAGATCGAACGAATTGTCTGATCACAAAATCGGTAAAAGTCTTCCTGTCGTTGAGTGAATTTTAATTTCCGTGTATGCCCGTTTTAGACAGGTTTTAGTAGTTGCAGAACTTCGCCGTTTTGTTGATATCTTCACATATCACGGGGGTGGTGTCTGAGTCTCTGGGGTCTTGTCGGTCGTGATGAATCATTAACTACCCTTAGCCGAACCAATTCACCACTGGCTTTGGGGATGAAGGTGCTAGTATACTAGGGTTATACAGGGTTACTTATGGGTTCTTCTTACAGCGGATAAAAGACAGACCCCTCGGTGCCTCGATCCCTCCAATAAATTTCACGCCAGTCCAGCCTTTCTTCTAGTCCGTCTTTCCCCATTGCTTTCCGCCAAGTTTGAAAAGAAATCCATTTTGGGACGCTCTGGTGTGCTGAAGGTGGTATTTAGAATTTACCGGCCCACCGATTTTCAATGGATTTTGGGTTGGCTCCAAAGTCACAATCAGTACCGCGTTTATGCCTGCGCGAAAGAAACCCTCGGGTTGGGGGGGGGGGGGGGGTTGAACGTAAAAGAGAAATGGTGTAGTTTTCACGTCGACAAATTGCTGTCTCCTTCCGCCTTGCCCGATTTCTTTTATCTGTTGGTTTTGGTGTGGTAGGAGGTAAGGATTCTGCGCGTGAGTTCCGAAATAACTTTAGTGGAGCCAAACGGAATCAATTTAATGTCCGTCGTGGTCCTAGTAAATATAAATTTATAGCAGGAAATTTGCTTTTAAATTAGCGTTAGAGAGAAATAGCTTCGAGTCTGCGCGTTCCAATTAGGAGCCGAGCATAGAGGACTGCGCGCTTTTCATGTTACTAGAAATTTGTCTGTGTGTGTACTGATAATTATGGGCACTTGCAACGTAAACATAAGAGTTTTTGAAAAAAGAAATTAAGTGTAAATTGAAGTTTTATTCTTGGCCCCCAGTAGATCGCTGTCGGACGTCTTCGTGGTCGTACGCAGTGACGTCAACTTCACGGGGTCGCTGTGTGCTGAATTTCAGAGACGGTTCCTGCAGGCTACGAGCAAACAAACCGATATGAGAGCCGTTCTTCTCCGGTAATTAAGAGCTCTGTGTAAAATACAGCCACTTCTCACTCGGAGTGGCGGGTTACAGTCTCGATTTTCAAGCCAATATTTGCTCGGAAGGGGCGCCAGAGTTCTGAAAACGTCTTCCTG